TTGCTGTAAGGCAAACGTGCTACCCACTTTGCCACTGCGTCACCCCTACCATCATTCTACAAATTATAAATTATGTTTGCTTTTCATATCCAAACACATCTCTTGCGTCCTATTTTTATAGTCTTAAATCACAATACAGTACTACTATTGTGTTTATGGTTTCCGTAACATATTTTTATTTCTTATTTCTACACATAAATTAATCAACAATGGGCATAAATCATCTAAATGTATATTCATGTCATATATAATTGCCTCATTTCCTGCTTGTTATTGTCCTTCTGTGTTGAAATGTACTCCTTTAAATCATAAAAAGTTCATTGTGTGTAAATTTCATTCTGATTCTGATATCTACTGCCTGTTTGTGTTTGTTCCAGGTGTATAATCGAGTGTGCAGAGAGCCTGTTCTGCCGTTATCCGCACGACTGCATCGACTGCGCTCTCACTGCGGTGCGGTCGCCGGCTCCATCTTCTCCTTCGTTGCTGTTATCAACTTCCTCTTCCTGCTCTTTCTTCAGTGGCTCCGGCCTGACAGTCTGATCGACGTAGCTGTAGACGCTTCAGGTCCTCACAGTCGCTTAAAACAGCAGGTCAGTCACAAAACGAGTAAAACAGCAAACCCTAATGATCTCACATGACCTCACATTAGTCTCACAATGACCTTTATTTAAAGGGGGAGATGTGAAAAATGCACTCATGTCGTGAAACTGTTGTACCCTAACTACTCCTGTTTACATTTCTATTGAAAACTTTGAGCTCAGGTGTAAAGAGAGCTATTAAGAGCTATTATTCTCAAGCACTCCTGCTGTCCACAGCCTGCTTTGCACATTAAAAAGCTGCCTTTAACTGAACCCCCATACCATACCCCCTCCCCCTCCTCCATTAGAAGATAGTTTGTTGAAACGGTTGCACAAGTACTTTTTAAAATGTCTGGATTTAATATGAATGAGGATTTCACAGTTTGTATGTGTGTTTTAATCTGACTCAAATAAGCCAAACTGAAGTTTTTAATGCCAAACACAGTTTAGGAGCTGTGAGATATAAAAAGCATCATATCTGTTATTTTCTGTAGTCTGACAGTACTTGTTTCTTTTTTTAAACTGGTTCTAACTTTCATTGCTGCTTTTTGATGGTTGTCGAAACCCAAATACTGCATTTCTGGACTCTGTTTGTCACGTAAGGTTTCATACTTGGTTTCTTTTACACCTATTTTGCATTGACCTTCTCTGTGTGTATTGTGAATATGATTATACTGCACAAACAGTTCTACTACCTAAAAGTGGTGTTGAATTATTTTTGTTGACAGTCTACAATAAACTTTATTAACATGTAATACATGTGCATTCTTCTTCTTTTATTTTTTTATATGATATTAATATATTTGTGGGTGATTATGATTTTGTTAACCCAAAAACGTAAAAGGAACAAAACATGTCAGTTACAATTATGGAAATATACAAAAATACCATTATGGGACTATTTTGAACAAACGCATTGTGGCAAAGTTATTTTTATTTTGGGTTTTTTAAATTTGATGTTTTGTATTGAACTTCTCTCTGAGTACGTTGTGATTGTGATTTATTGATCTATTCATTGTGAATGGACAAACACTCCTACTAACTGAAAGTGGTGTTCATTAGAAAGGAAGAGTACAATATAGCAATTACAATGTTAAAACTCAAACAAATTAATTTAACAGGTCAAATTGTGCACCTTAAATGTCTTGAGAAAAAAAACTTGACACATTGTAGCAAACATATTTTTGTTATAAATAAACTAATGCTCTTTGGAGTATGTCTTTTCTTTGCTATTTTTAGAATGAATATAATTTTCATACTTTGCTTGCTTCTATGTCTATTTTATATTTGCTAATATAATTATTTATATTCTTTGCTATATTATCATATTTGCTCTGTTTTATATTCTCTAAGTACTATAATGATTGTAGTGCACAAACATTCATTCTACTTGGATTGGACTGGATTTGCTGTCCATTTAATCAATTTTGCTGACAAATGCTACAATAAAGTTCATTAACGAGCAAAAAATAGTTTCTTTAACTTTTTGTTTTATTTTTATTTATTTCATTTCATTTTAGTGTTATTTTATTTATTCCATTTTATTTTTAGTTTTATTTTAGTTTCAATTTAAAAAAATATTTAATATTTTAAATTTTATTTTATTATTATTTATTTTCATTTTATTAAAAAAACTATTGTATTTTTATTTTATTTAGCTTTTTATTTTATTTTAATTTAATTTTAGTTTTTTTATTGTATTTTTTTATGTTTATTAGATTTATTTATTTATTTATTTATTTATTTTGGTAACTAGGTTGAGGAGGTTTCCCAAACAGCAATATTACATAAAATAGTTTTTAATAAAAAATAAAAAAAACAGTGTCTGAATTTAAAATTCACACTGAACTACATTAACAGTCTTTTTAACTCAAAAAGTGACTTTTGCTTCTTTTTCAAACTACTTATGTAAAATGAGTTGAAACAATTCTTAAGGTTTTTTGTGACAATTTTATGTTGAATTCACTTAAATTTGTTAAAAAATTATTAAGTTAACTTAATTCCTATGTGTTGTGATAACATGAATGATTTTTGTGGAACATGTGGCTGTTGAATATAAAAGTGGCACATTATGGTAACATTATGATAACTTTCAGGGTCTCTTCGGATCAGAAATCTGATGCTTACACCCAAACAGAGTTGATAAAATACACACCCTCCAGCATTCAAGGCTAAAACTGTGGGGCGTTAACACACACTTATCACCGTTTCTGACTGCTTTCACACACGCATGCACAGTCAACAAGCAGAACACTCCTGCATAACACTGGATGCAAATCGAGCCTTACTGGAAAAGCAGATACTGTAATCTCCAATAACCATTGCCGTTACATTGGCTTTGGCTCAAATATTTCTCTTACTGTAAGCACATAATGAAATGTAGTATGAGGTTGTAGATACTTTAAGGCAAGTCACTGTACATTGCTCAGCATATATGAACACTCACCTCCCCCACAAATCTCTCTTTTAAATTAATATTTTCTATGCAATATTATATTTGTGCAAATACATTAGATTAGTCAGTACTGAAGCCAATTTGGAGCCTATCTGACAAAATAACTTACAATAATGGTGCAAAAACGAGTACACCCAAATGTATATGTTATAGAAAAATATTAAATACAAATAAAAAAAAGAGAAAAAAATCAAGAGATGCATATATATATATATATATATATATATATATATATATATATATATATATTATTTTGTTGAAATGTTGAAGTTTTTTTTTTATTTCAATATTTTGTTTGAATTTAATTGTATTATCTTTCCATTTCTGAAGATGTTCTGTGACTAAAATATTATTTTAGTAAATAAATCTGTTTAATAAATCTGTTTTGTTCAAATGCAACATATATTTTCCGTATTCACTGGGAAATAGATACAAATATTTATTTTCAATATGGGGTGTACTCAGTGCTGAGCACTGTAAAGGGAGGGGTGAAAGGAGTAAAACATTAGATCGTTTTTGATTAGGTCTTCATTAAGAATTGCAAACATTACTTTGTATTACAAGCTTTTTACAATAATATTTTGAAAAGTAGACTTTTTTTATTAAATAGGTGCTTTTTTGGCATTTTAGAGTCAACGTCAACAGAGGAGAGGTCTCTCTTTTTATAATTTCATAATTTAGAAAATACTGCTTAGAACAGCCAAAGAAATTTTTTATTTAATAAAATGTTGCATATTATCAGACAAACCGTGTATGAACATATCCATTTAAGATATACAGTTGAAATCAGAATTATTAAACCCCCTTTGATTTTTTTTTTCGTAAATATTTCCCAAATGGTGTGTAACAGAGCAAGGACATTTTTACACTAGGTCTAATAATATTTATTTTTTCTTCTGGAGAACGTCTTATTTGATTTATTTAGGCTAGAATAAAAACAGTTTTAAATTTTTTTAAACAACATTTTAAGGTCAATATTATTAGCCTAATTAGCCTAGTTAAGCCTTTAAATATCATTTAAGCTTTATATATTATCTTGAAAAATATCTAGTCTAATATTATTTACAGTCATCATGGCAAAGATAAAATAAATCAGTTATTAACACTATTATGTTTAGAAATGTGTTGAAAAAAAATATTCTCTCCGTTAAACAGAAATTGGGGGGAAAAATTAATGGGGCCAATAACTCAGGGGGATAAATAATTATGACTTCAAATAAACTCACCCTTAAGTGGTTGCAAACATGTTTTTTTTTCTGTTGAACATGATATAAATCATTTTGAAGTAACCTGAAAGCCTGTAACCATTGACTTTCACAATAGGAAAAACAAATGCTATTAAAGTCAATGGTTACAGGTTTCCAGCATTCTTCAAAACATCTTCCTATAGGTTTAACAGAAGAAAGAAACTCAAACAGCTTTTGGAACAAGTAAGGGTCAGTAAATTACAACAAAATGTCCAGATTTGGGTAAACTATGCCTTTAAGAATGTAGATATGAATAAAACTGTAACTGCTGCTGAAGTGGAGATTCATGGTTCTGTGCAAGAGGAAAAACTCTTTAAAATCTTTAAAAATATCTATTGTTATTGCAATCACTTAGAAAAAAAACACAATAATCTACTGAAAAATATGGAAAAAATATTAATATAATATAAATAAATTTTCTTTACACCAGACTACAAAAAAACACTTTCTAAACAAAGTCTTTATTTCATTCACTTATTCCAACAGTGCTGTATTCAAATTCTTAGGGTTTTAGCTCCTCTGCCCCATGCTGGCTCATCTGAAGGAGGTTTTTTTATGTAAGGGAGTTTCTCACCTCTCCGGATTTTGGAAGAGGGGCAGTAAAAGCACATCTCTGATAATGGTGGGAGGTGCAGTCTTTTCAGAGGGGGGTTCTTGTTTCTCTGAAGGCCATATAAACTCCTGTGAGGAGTTTCTCTGTGCTCCACTATCTTAATTGTCCTGTTCCTGCGAGGTTTCTGTGTGGCTGTGTTTTAGTTTAGAGATGGCCGTGGTTCATGCTGAAGGGAATGTCTGGATTAAGCAATGGGATCACAGGTTTCACATGTATGGAGGACAAACATGTAGTCCACTAATGGCAGGTAAGATTTAGCAGTTTCTTCAGATTTTTGATCAGATTTTTAAGTTGCTTAAACTAGTTGTGACTAACTACTGATAGCCAGTTTTGGATTATGAAACTTGTACCGTGACTGTAGCATACTACTGCATCAAGCCAAAGTTCCATTCATTTGTTTAATTTTACAATTGTACTCATTAAAATAGAAATATAGGAAACTCACTGAGTGATATAAAGCCTGTGTAAATCTAATCAAAAGAAAAGGTTGTTTGTGGATTTATTTAGCTGTATTGCTATTTTTACATTTTAATTTGATCTGTTTTCGAGGTCAGTTGGAGTGTTGGAGTAGAAGAATGCACTTTTTTTAAAGCTTGCATGAAACATTGGCTTTCCAATTTCAAAGCTGGCCATGAGTCATTTTCCAGTCCCACTCCTCTCCAGTCATTCTTAAGTGTTTTTTAAAGTGATGCCATTAAAGAATCAGGTTCGAATCCACAAAGAAAATAAATGTACTTTATTGGCATCAATGGCTGCACGAAGATCCTTTAGCATTTTGTTAACCTTTAATTCCACAAAAGGATCTATACCAGACTAACAAAAAGTGACAGGTTTTTATAGTAGTAATATAAAAAAAATAATAATACTAAAAACAAAACATAAATAAACTTTTTTTTCAACATAAAGAACCAGTTTGTTCATTGACATACTTATAGTAGTAGAGTACAACATAAGTGACCTATTGTAAAACCCTCAAATGTACAGTGCTCAGTATATATAAGTACGCCCCTCACAAATCTCTTTTAAATTCATATTTTTAATAGGAAGCTATACAATAATATACTCGTGCACATACATTAGTAAAAAAAATATGATTGGGGGACTTTTGGAGAAGGAGAAAAACTAATTTTAAAAGTTTATAAAAAGGGCAGGTTCTTTTGTGGGGTGTGCAATACCCACTATAGAAGAGATTGCAGATGATCGAATGATGGACAAATTTGTCCGTATGATGAACCCTGATAATCATCCCCTTTTTAATAGCTCTTTTAGTGCAAGATTAATTCAACCCCTGTGTTACAGAGAAAGATACAGGAAGTCATTTTTACCAACAGAGATTAGATTATGTAACCATAATCATATTAGATGAATTATGCTAAATTGTAGCAGTTATTAGATAAGAACAAGTGTTTACTCATTGTTTGAAACTAAGGTGTGCAGTATGAATGTAGTTTTATTATTGTTTTTATAGATCTTTTTTTAGTATGGAGAGATTTGCTGTGACATGTGAATTATATTTTAGGATTATTAAAAATCTAACAAACAAACAAACATTAGATTAGTCAGTACTAAAGCCAATTCTTACGACAAACTTATGACAACGGTCCAAAAACTAGTACACCCAAATTTATGTTACAGAAAAATATTAAATACAAGAAAAGAGGAAAAATCAAGTGAAAAAAAAAAAAAATAAATACAAATTATGTTGAAATTTTGTAGGTTGTAATTTTGAAAATCTTGAATTTAGTTGTATTCATCTTTCATTTCTAAATATGTTTTATGACTAAAATATTATTTTAATAAATATATCTGTTTAATAAATCTGTTTTGTTTAAATTCACCCAAATCTATTGCCTATTCATTAAGAAATGGAGAAAAATACTTGGGCTGTACTCAATTATGCTGAGCACTGTATCTATGGCACATGTTCACTGAAATGTCCATGTTTTTGTTTTGTTAGGCTCCTGGGACGACAGAACACCTTTACACGATGCTGCTTTGCAAGGAAGACTGCTTCCACTGAGAAGACTCCTCTCACAGGTACTGATCGATAAACCCTGATGTGGTGTCTCAAGCTTGTCAGCTCAATAAATAGTTTACATTCATCCAAAGCGACTCATGCCCCTAAACACGCCTGAAGCACTGCGCTTCCCTGGCAGCAGTCAGGGGTCTGGTTTCTTGCTCAGGGGCTTTACCTCAGCATGGTATTGAGGGTGTGGAGGTGGAATATTTACAATGCCCCACCTAAATCTCGTGTTTTCCAGGTTTGATAAGTGCTTAGATTTTAAACAAAATGTTTGAAACTGCTTAAAAATGTTATATCTTGCTAATAAATAGGTGCTTAAGCAGTGGGAGAAGACAAATTGTATTGTGATTGCCACTTAATGAGTTAACAGTGCATGAAATTAGAATAAATAGCTATTTAAAATAAAAAATGACACAATTTAGACGTGAGGAAATGTCATTTAAGAGGTAAATGATAGTAATATAATGTTGGGCTGGGGGAAAATGTCCTTATAGTATTCTATAGTAAAGTACAGCATTGTAACAAATAGTATCTTAAATATTGTGAAGAAGTATGGATAGGTATGTAAATATGTCATTTGACACTTTCCCAAAATGTGAAAATGCTTCTAGAAAGTGCTTAAAAACTGCTTAAATTTCACTTTGGGAAAGGTGTAAGATCCCTGACTGTCTGTGTTTTCGTGTGTACAGGGCTACAATGTTGGAATGGCGACTTTAGATGGAATCACAGCACTGCATGAAGCTTGTGTTGGAGGACATTTCACCTGTGCTAAACTTCTCCTGGAACATGGTGCAGATGTACGTATATAACTTTCATTATTTGCCTTAATTTTACTCCATGTCTCTGAACACGCATTCATTGATGACTTATATATGTATGTTTGAATGCAGGCAAATGCAGTGACTTTTGATGGAGCCACTCCTCTGTTCAGTGCCTGCTGCAGTGGAAACCCCGCCCTTGTCAGCCTCATTTTGACACACAGCTCCGCCCACCATCCAGCTCACCTGCTCTGCTCACCTCTGCATGAAGCTGCAAAGAGAGGTGTGTGTGGGAATTGCAAAATCTGAGAGTTGGATAAAATCAGAGTCAAATTTCTTGTTTCACAAATGGACCTTTTTGGATCTCTTTTTATCATTCCATTATTCAGAATATGCTGGCAACAGCAAGGATTTTTCTTTGTAGAGAAGTATGTTGTGTATTATTTGGAAAATTATGTGTGAAAATTTTTCCTCTGTAAAAGCCTTCAGAGTATAGATATGAAAAAACTGCCTGGTTTATGAAAGTTCTGCTGAAGTGAATATGCATGTGGATTTCCAGTGCAGGAAAAGAAATTGAAAACAGCCTTTATCAATGTATGTTTGCAGATTTCAATTACATTGCATATTTTAAAAGTGTGACACGCAAAACATGTATTTTTTACATTATTAGACCAAAAAACATCCGATAAAGAGCGAAATGCTTCAATATCTGAAAATGTCTCAAGAATTGAATCAAAAAGTCATGTTTTAGCTCCACTGATTAACCATATTATCTCCTGTCTATGTTTTAGGTCACACGGCCTGTGTTGAACTGCTGTTGTCTCATGGTGTGAACGTGGACATGGAGCTGCCCAGTGTTGGAACAGCGCTGTACTGTGCATGTGAAGTCAAGAGCACAGACTGTGTACTGACCCTGCTGATCTTAGGTCAGAATCACAAACATTACCCTTCATGACTTAATGAGTTACAAGAACAAAAGGTTTTCTTTCTCAGATTTTCTTATTGCATTCGTTATACAGTTGAAGTCATAATTATTAGCCCCCTTGAAATTTTTTTCTTCTTTTTTTGATATTTCCCAAATGATGTATAACAGAGCAAGGAAATTTCTACTGTACGTCTGATAATATTTTTTCCTCTGAAAAAAGTCTTATTTGTTTTATTTCGGCTAGAGTAAAAGCAGTTTTTAATTTTTTAACACAATTTTAAGGACAAAATGATTAGCCCCTTTAAGCTAATTTTTTTCTCGATAATCTACAGAACCAACCATCGTTATACAATAATTTGTCTAATTACCCATGTCTAATTACCCTTTTAAATGTCACTTTAAGCTGTAAGGAAGTGTCTTAAAAAATATCTAGTAAAATATTATTTACTGTCATCATATCAAAGATATAATAAATCAGTTATTAGTAATGAGTTATTAAAATTATTATGTTTAGAAATGTGTTGAATAAAATCTTCTCTCCGTTAAACCGAAATTGGGGAAAAAATAAACAAGCAGTCTAATAATTCAGGGGGGCTAATACTTCTGACTTCAGCTGTATTAGTGAACGGTGATAAAATGTTATCTAGATAACCATTTTTTTGGTGCAACTTTATACATTTAATAGCAAGTGTTCACTTAAGGAAACTTTAAAATCATTCCATTATATCAAAATAATTAGAAATATGGTTATACATATTTTCGAATTTATTCAGCCTTATTTTAGTTACCTAAAATAATTTTCTATGTGTTTGTTTTTGCAAGACATATACAGTTGAAGTCAGAATTATTAGCCCCCTGTTCAATTTTTCCCCAAATTCTGTTTAGCGGAGAGAAGATTTTTTCAACACAATTCAAAACATAATATTTTTTAATAACTCATCTCTAATAACTGATTTCTTTTATCTTTGCCATGATGACAGTAAATAATATTTGACTAGATATTTTTCAAGACACTTCTATACAGCTTAAAGTAACATTTAAAGACTTAACTTAGCAATTTTTTTTAATTTATATACTGTATAAAATGTTTAAATATTAATATTTTTAAATCTATATAAATATTATTAATATTTTGAATTTTAGTGTTATTTTTAGTTTCCCTGAGATGGGTTGCGGCTGGAAAGGAATCCGCTGCTTAAAAACGTGCTGAATAAGTTGGCGGTTCATTCCGCTGTGGCAACCCCAGATTAATAAAGGGACTAAGCCGACAAGAAAATTAATGAATGAATGAGTTTTATTTTAAGCTCATTTAAAGTTTTAATTACAATGTTTCTAAGTCATTTTTAGTCATTTTCATTAAGTTTAATTATCAAAATACTTTATCTTCTAGCCTCTTTAATGGCTCTGGTGTTGTTCAATTGTTTATTACTACAAATATTTATTTCAGCTTTATTTTTCACTTTTTCTATTGTTTTAGTCATATTTTTGTGTCATTTATGTTGTTATAGATTTATTTTGAAATTAGCATTTGTTTTTAGCACATTTAGTTTGTTTCTGTAATTTTGTTGTTTCGTTAGAATAATGTGTGTGTATATATATATATATATATATATATATATATATATATATTGTTCATCTTTAAAAATTAAAAAATGTAAATTAATTTAACTTTGACATTAGTTTTTTAACTTTTTACATTTTTCTTTCTCTTTTCATGTGAGTTTGTTTGTAATATGTATATAAAATAACAAAAATGCAATTTTATGTATGTAAATTTTTAGCCAATTTTATGTCAGTTTTATTAGTTACTTGTTGGGGTCGACAAAAACATTTCATGAATTTACGAGATGAGATCTTATGAGAACTTTTAACAGAACTAAGAAACCTACACAAAATATGTGTACAGTGAATGTGTATGTACATAAATGATTTTAGTCTTGTGATCAGTAAATTATATTTCAAGTACGTTACTTACTTTAAATTTGAAGTTAAATTATAAAACATTACTCACATATGCAATGGTTGTTTGTTATTTTACCAATAACAACGCGACTCATGCTCATTTAATTCTCTACAGGTGCTGATGTACAATGTGGGCGTGGCCTTGACACACCTTTACATGCTGCATGCAGAGTAGGTGGAGCAAAAGAGGCGGAGCTACTATTAGAACACGGGGCTGATCGTACATCTAGAAACTCTGAGGGGAAGACACCTCTGGATCTGACCTCAGATCAGAGCATCAAACACCTCTTGCAGACAGCAGGTAAAGAAAAACACACAGGATATAAACAGTACATTTGTATACTGTGATACAGATCTTATACATTTTTTATTTTTTGCAGGTACCTGCTCTCTGTCTCAGCTATGCAGATGGTGCATTCGACGCTCACTGGGACAAAAAGGACTCAACAAAACCAAGACCCTTTGCTTACCACATATGCTACACAATTATCTTCTCTATCATTAAGACGCGTATAAACATTGTCAAGTGTCAAAACACGACTTGCATAGTAATCTTGTTATTTTTGAATTTTCTGCACATTTTTATTTGTAAATCTGTAAATATTATTTGTTTGTGTGGCCTTAATCTGTGTATTTTGGCAATAACCTGTTGTTAATTTGTTGGAAGCAGTGTATATTTACTGTAGTCAACATTAGAAGTGGATCAAAACAGTTTTTCAAAGCTGTCCTAAGGCAAGAATGGGTGTTGTTCAATAGTTTTAGGATCATTTTGATGAAAGGTTTTGATCCACTTCGAATCTTGATAACTGTGCACATGCACAGGTTTTATGTTAAATGGGTTTGTAAAAATAAGTAAAAATATCTTCATTTTGTTTTGCCTCTACATATTTTTTTACCCTCAAAGTACTGTAAAGGTGCATTGTAAAAATCACCAAATACCATGGTTTCAGAAAAAAAACAAATATTTTAATAAAGTGATCTTTTTCTTAGTAAATTTCATGAAACAATGGGCGGCGAGGGCAAGGTACAGCAAGATTCGAGCCTTGGCTGGATCAGTTGGCGTTTCTGTGTGGAGTTTGCATGTTCTCCCTGTGTTCGCGTGGGTTTTCCCCACAGGTCTAATGACAAGTGCTATAGTTTAATTAGGTAGGCTAAATTATTTGTTATGTATGAGTGTGTAAATGAGTGTGTATGGGTGTTTCTTAGTGATGGGTTGCAGCTGGACGGGCATCCGCTGTGTAAAACATGCTGGATAAGTTGGCGGTTCATTCCGCTGTGGTGACCCCTGATTAATAAAGAGACTAAGCTGAAAAGAAAATGAATGAATTTCACAAACAACCCAGCAGATGGCAGCTTTGTACCAACTGTAAGATAATACATTTTTTGATTTAGTTTATAAGCTAAATAAGGATAAATCACTAACTCTAGAGCTTTAAGAAGCTTTAATTAATCATTAATCAATAGTTATTTCATGACTATTTTGAAAGTTATGACGTTTCAGTGGGGTGACTGAAAAAAATAGCTGAACTAACAACAAAGTACAGTATACATTAAGAATAAACAACATTAATATCAAGAAACAAAACATTATAATGAACATTAGGAATACATATTCTTTTTTAATGTACCCCCAAACCGAATGTCTAACTATGTGACTCAACATCTGCTGACAGTATGCTGAGGATATTCCCTGTCTAGTCACCGCGTTTGAGAGGCAATATGGCACTCCTATGATGCTGCTCGTGTGTGTGTCTGTGTATGTGTACACGGTCACGGGGAATCCGTGGGAGCGCAAACTCCGCCTCCGCCATGAACATCTCCAGCGGCGGGTGCGTGGGGGGTTTCGGGTTTGCCTCTCGCTCAGAGCTCGGGCTGCGGTGATGGATACAGTCAGTCAGCGCTACTAACCACCGGTTCTTGACCGTGTAACAGCACTGCAGTTCACAGGATTTTCACGAGCGACCGCTGCACTGCAGGTAGGACAGTTCATGCACTGGCGTGCTTCTTAGATGCGGTCTGAGGGAAAAAAACGCGGCTTTAACGGTGAGGAGGACGCTGTAACTTAAGTGTTCCCATTCTGACTGATGTTTAACAGTCTTTATCTTTTTTATACCTCATCCTCAAACAGCTTAAACCTCAGCAAAGTCAGTATCAAAGGATATATTTCACTAACAAGCAAGCCTGTTTTCCCGCTGTTTTGTGGCAAGACATTTTATGTCGTCTCACCAGGTGTTTGAACAGGTGCAATGCAGTAGAGGGTTTGTATTGAGGTAGCATGAAGTCGTTTTGACGTTTTAGTCGTTTCTTAAAATGAAAGTTTAAAAGTGTCATCATGATGTAGCCCGTGGTGTTTATTGTACATATTACATGAAACTGGATGTCCCACTTTTTACTCCAGTGAATATTAATTAGGTTTATTTTAGAAAGTCAGTTTTTGTGTGGATGGCTTGTGTTGGGGACAGAATGTCTTTCAGTGTGGTTCTGTTGACAAGCAGATACAGTATTCTAATGTTAATATTCTTGTATTATATAATTCAGTATAATCTATCTTTGCAGAGTGAGTGTGTGTGAGGTGATCTGTATGATCCTCTTCTACATGATTACACAGGTTTAAGCACATGCCAGTGCTTTGCTTCAGTTTGATAATAAGCAGAAATCAGTCCTAGAGCTGAAATGGTGACAAAGCCATTAAGGTTAAATTGGTTTTATATTCACACATTCAGACTTTCCCCTTATAATTTTAGAAAAGTATTATTGGCAAATTCTAAATAGTGAAATCATATAAGCAGCCAATGACTATCAAAGTACAGCATTGTTCACAGTGAAAAGTAGTGCTACAGTAATGCTGTTTTGAAGTCATACATACTTGCATGTAGTTTCAAGAGATCACACTTAGCTGATGATTGATTATAGAGTTTGTTTGGCGTGCTGTCCCGGGAGCCAGCCCTGAGCTCATTAGATCCTCGAGCCTGGGGCTCCTTCCTGTTTGCAAGGTGAGAGGGGAGTTTGAGCTCAGGTAGATCTAGAGAACTCCTCGCTGTATAGCTAATGAACAATTAGTGATTGCTCTAAGAGATAACTAATTACTAGGAGCATGTCTATGGTGCCGATTTGGATTAGTCAGTTAACTTCAGTTGCATGTTTTTGAATGGTAGGAGGAAAGCGGGGAACCCAGGGGAAACCCATGTGAGCATGGGGAAAATGTGTAAACTCCGCACATAAATGTTCGCTAGCTTGTTAAGAACTAGAACCAGTGACGTTCTTGCTGTGAGCCAACCGTGCTAACCACTGGACGACCGTGTCACCAATCTAAGAAAGGAGGAGTAGGGGTGGAAAGGGGGGATTCTTCAAAACTAGATAGCTGTGATATGGAACTTAGGGTATTTATAGTGGCTTTGGAATCGTCTGACTGGTGAATCATAAATTGGATAATGCGGGACCTCCCACAAGCAAACATAAGCACGTGATCCTCTCGAAATTAGTTCTTGAAATAAACTTCACTTCAGACCAAATATTCAAAGTACAATGGCAAACAATATAGGGAGCATGCCACAAGTTGTCACTGAACAAATGTGCGAATGTAAAACCAACTTTACCTCAATGTCATAGCCTAGTGCCTATTTAGTATGTTCCTACCTGTAAGGTATTTGGCTAACTTTCTAATTTAGTTTACCCACCCTTTTAATGTCTACACAGCTAACTTTGCTAATGCAATGACGGCACCAGGACAGACGTCCTACTAAAGTGTTACAAACTGAACCTAAATGTGTGATACACAAATTCTGTTCGCACTTATGTGAGTGGACGAATACACAAAGACTCGAGCTTTAATTATTTCTCTTATCTCTGAAGGAACAAGCCATGGATTGGTATAAGTTTCTGATGGTACAAGGATAACCTTGAATAAAATAACACAGCTTGACGGTATACTGCTTTAAAATAAGTTCTTTTAAAATGTTTAGGTAAAACAAAAGAAATAAAAAAAAAACCCATTGAACACAATATATTTTATTTCAAGAAACATTTTAAATATTTTTGAGCAGTAAACATGTCAGGCTAAATAATTTGAATAAATCATTGACTTTTGCTCTTTTCATTAAATTCAAAAACACAGATTTCTTTACAACACATAAAAAAACCTTAAATCTATCTTATGAAACAATATAACAGAACATTTTAGCGGTATAAAAACCTTGACTTTATAAACCGCAGTAAATCTTGAAACAGGTCATCAGCCCATTCCTAGAAAGTACAAAACCAGTGACGGACAAAATGCCTCTCTGTGCTGTCACACGCTGATAGGAACTGTTTAAGTTTTGATGTGTCATTTACTGTGGACTGTGAGTAACAACATACAGTAAATCACTTTTGTTTTCCAAAGCATTAGCTATTTATACCTGAGAGAGGCGTAATCAAGATAAGAGGCAGCTAAAGGAACAGCAAATCAGTTTGTCAGGGGAACGTTGTATTGCTCTGATGTTCATACTCTTTCATAGTCACACTTAGTTATGTGTATCAAATGATTCTTCTAAACCTTAAAAAAATGAAAATAGAAAAGTTTATTGGCAAACCTTTAATATAGAGTGCTCACATTATTTATTGTTAAGAGTTTGTATTGAAGTCTTTGTAGTAAATCATTGACATTGTAAAGTCTCTTCAGAAAATGTTGATGTGATGTTACTTGATGTAAAAATGTTTTTCCCCTATTCATATTGACATTTTGTAGGCAACAAGGGGTGCATGTTGGCTTTTCTCTGTGTGAGTTTGCATGTTTTCCCTGTGTTCTCGTGGGTTTCCTCCAGGTGCTTCGGTTTCCCACACAAGTCCAAAGATGTGGTATGTGTGAATTGGGTAAGCTAAATTGTCCCTAGTGTATATGTGTGTATGATTATGTATGGATGTTCCCCAGAGATGGGTTGCTGCTGGAAGGGCATCCACTGCTTAAAACATATGTTGGCGTAAGTTGACGGTTCATTCCACTGTGGCAACCCCAGAATAATAAAGGGACTGAGCTGAAAAGAAAATGAATAAAGGATATCGACATTTGTGCAATAAAGTGAATTTTTACTGAAGCCCCTGATAAGTGAGGAATAAAGGTAACACTTTAATTTAAGGACCAATGCTCACTATTAATTAATGGCTTAATACCAGCCTATTGTTCGGACATTGGGTGTTTATTAGTATTTATAAAGTACATATTTTGCAATTTTTCGATCTTGCACAATTCCATATACTTCCTAATCCAATCTAATATCTATTCCCAACTTTTACCTTAATAACTATTAACATGCTTAACTATTAATAAAGAATGTATTAAAGCGAAAGTTATAGTTAATTAGCAGTGAGAATTGTTATTTAAAATAAAGTGTAACTAGAATATGAGCAAACATGTTATAGAACAAAACAATATTTATAGTGTAAATGCCAGGTAGGAACAAGCTTTTGCATAGCTGAAATGCACAAAAAATGTGAATGTGTGTCTCTGTGTTATTGACCGCGTTTTATTCTGAAATTTCCCACAGGAATGCAGACCTTTAGTTGGTGGTTAATCCCACTATGGTGACCCCTGATGAATAATGGGACTAAGCCGAAGGAAAATGAATAAATGAATGAATACAAAAAAGGATATTTTGTAGAATGTTGGAAACCGGTAATGATTAAAGTCTATAGTAAGAAAAACAAATTCTATAGAATTAATTTGTAACTGGTTTCTACCATTAGAAAGTGTATTCATATTTTTGTGAGTTCAATAGAACAAAACAACTCAAACTGATTTGGATAACGTCAAGGGTGAGTAAATTGTGACACAGTTTAAGTTTTTGAGTGAACTGTTTCTTTAATCAGTCCTCTCAAGCCGTTAGTTTACAGTGAGTGATGCAGCAAGATGGTGAGGATGAAGAAGCACTAAAAAAAACAAAGCTAGTGAGTGATGCAGCAGACATTTTGTTATTATAGATTCAGTATATATTCAGTTTTCTGTTAGAGCATCGTCTTCTCCCTGATCTTTTTTATTTCTTTTAAGTTTTTTTGGTCTTTTTGCTACACTTGGGTCAAGCTCAAGCTTTGTTTTCCAATGGCGGCACTTTGGGCAGTCACACAATACTATGTGGATGCAGACTTGCATATGCCAGATATGCATATAAGACAGTCTCAGACATGCAATCTCAGACATAATGCACCTAATGGAACTGTGACATCACTGTGAGGAGTATTAGAAGCATCGCATGCAGCTCAGATTGCAGCTGCACCCAGTCTGCATCCAGACCCCACTCCAATCACAACCTGACAGTTTGGCCAGTTCTCAAGTTAAGTTGCATAGCTATTTGTATTTGCATTGAATTAATTTTATAGTTGCACCAAGTGACCATTCGCCACATCCTTGTAATGCGACTGAGCGCATATATAGCTGTAACAACTTTGGTAAAATTACTTTATTAAAAGTGTTCATGGTCGATGCCAGTAGCCCAGTGGTTAAGTGCATTGACATATAGCACCAAGGTGTTCTGAGTCCTGGTTCAATGTCTTTTGCCAATCCTTCTCTTCTCTTCTCTTTCTGCTCCCCACAATTTTCTGTCAATACTCTTTACTGCCCTGCCTATTAAAGGTTAAATACTCCTAAAAAATAATAATAATAAAGTAACCACAAACAGTTTAAAGTTTTGGCCTGCTATTTTGAACATGAAGGAAAATTTTAACCTTTTTTTTTAGAATTATTTTGTAGTTTGATCCCTGTAGCACCACCATCAGCGCTAAGACTTAGTAGCGATTACCACAGCAAAATGATTAAAGTCTCTTCAGTTTAGTTTAACATGTAAGGCAGAATGCTGAACTCTGAAAATGCTATCAATTACATCAATTACTGTTTCGACTGTTCAACCACTTGAAGACCTAAAAATATTGAACTATACAGAGAGAGGACATCAGTGACAGCAGGATCATCAAAATTAAATCAGTCATAAAAATGACTGAAAGCAGC